GGACGAGTGCCCTTGTCTCGCAGTCTCGCCCTCGTGCAGTCTCGTCGGGCTCGCAAAGTCGCCATCGCAAGCCCACCTGGCAGGTTGCGAGGCCCACAATCCGCACTGGAGAGCCATATCGATAACGGGTCCCTCGCCTAGCAAAAGTCTGAGCTCCCTTTAAATTTCTCGGGCCATCCCACCACGACACCGCAGCAACCAGGCATCACTTCATTCACCACTCAAGAACCCCGCGGCCGCGAACTGGCATCGCGCACCGTTGTCGTCGCATATCCTGCAGCACCACAACATCACCTATGGGGTCTGAGAAGGGACCCCGTCCGGCCTACGTGGTCGACTTCGACGACGAGACGGGGAAGGCGGTTCGAGGCAGCCGGCGAAGCGCCCGAACGACCGCAGAAAAGCCCAAGATCTCGCACCGCGACAGTCGGTCAGAGAGAGAAAGACCAAAGAAACGCATCACAGACACCGAGTATACACCTGAGCGAGCAGTTGTAGCAGCTGCTAGCCGCAAGGTCGACGTTATTACGACGGAGCAGGAACTGAAGCTGGAACGTCGCAAATCATCAGCCAGCAGCACAGCCTCTCCACGAAAGACAGCACGACCACCTTCCGCACACAAAAACAAGAGCTTCCCAAAATTAGAAATGCCTCCCGAACGTTCACGACGAGAAGACCCACGACACTTTGGAATTCCGACACCGAATCGAGCGTCACCAATTATTTCTCAGTCAGTCTCGCAGCCAATGCCACAGCCAATTGCACTACGGCCTCGTGCTGTCACAGCACAGACATATCCAACAAGGCCTACCAGCTATCATGCGGCCTATGCTTCAAGCGGAGGATATAATAATGCTCCTCCGTTGTCGAACTCTGCCTGGGCAAATTATCAACCACCACCCCAAACTATTATCACCCCATCCTATCCTCCACCAAACCCCGGTTTCCTTCCTCACGCTCCGACACCAGCTCCAGCAGTGTCAGACTACTTTAGCTCCCAGGCATCATCCGCTCCAGAACGACCGATGTCTGCGAGACCTCTATCCCAAAGATTTGACCCGCCTTCCCGAACTTCGTCAGGATATGGCTATCGTGAGACACTTCAGCAAGATCTTGTTGACTCCTATAATCAAGGATATCATGACGATGCCTATGCATACGTCTCGGATGTGAAGCCACGAAGACGAGAGAGCATACGAGTTCCATCAAGAACACCATCGAGACTGAGCAAGAGCGATGCCGATTACCAAGCCATGCCACCGCCACCTCGACCAATCCTCCGAAGACCCGTCACGGATTATCCCATCACTCCAGCAGATCCATATCCTGAGGAAGGACGAACCCTTATTCGGGATGAGCCAAGGCCCCGACGATCCAGCTCTAATCGCAATTCGGTCTCGTATGACTTACCTGTTCGAAGTGATTCACGACCTCGCCGTTCAAATTCTCACAGAAACTCCGTATCCTACGATCAAATAGTCGACGGCATGGGAAGTGTTCGAATTGAAACAGCAAATAATGGCAGACGCCGCTCGAGCTATTATATCGCTCCTTCCGAAACCCCTACCTCTGCTTATGGGCAATCGACCTACAATCAATCCACATCAACTGGCTCCAGTGGCTACGAGGACAAGGTTCGAATGGCAGCTTCGTACCAGGAGGATGTGGCAGGCCCGGCTGTGCCGTTGACGGCTGATCTACTGAGGAAGCAGCAACGACGCCAGGCGGGAAGTAGTCGGAGCACCAAGAGCAGTGCCAGCCGGGATGAGAGTGATTATAAGAAGTCGGCAACCACACGGACCACCAGGAGTGGCAGCGGAAATGATGATGAGAATGTAACAATCAAGGTTACAGGAACGGCCCGAGTGATGGTTGGTGGTGCACAAATTGATTGCCCTGACGGAGGCGAGATTGAAATCAAGAGACAGCAGAAGAGTATTCGCAACGGGAGCGAGCAATCGGTCTCAGAATTCGGAGACCGGCCAGTGCAACGACGTATTGGTGACCGTGAACGTCAAAGCCGGGCGGATAAACCTGCTGGTCGCTCGAGAATCGGCTCACAGCACTCTTACACGCGCGAGTCGCCGAAATACTACGACAACAATTATTTCTAAGGGGGTTTCTTTTAGTCACAAGCGGAAATTGTCTTTGAATTTAGCGTCATTTTTTCTTGGGCGGGTTTTCCCATCTGCTTTTTCGATTCTCCTTTCTCTGTGCATATCCATGGGCGGCTTGTTACTTTCTCCCTTTTTTCAAAAGTTAGAAGAGGAAAAGTTCATTATACCCCCACAAAAGCACCTGAGAGCTTTGGCTTTTTTACTTTCTGGCGATGATTGTTTCGATATGATTGTATGACTGTATGAGTTATGATTGGATACCTTTTACACGAGACATATTTGGGCAAATTGGATTTTGGTTCATGGAATAAGATCATGCACGATTGCTAGCAATGGCATGTACTCTATCTGTTGCTCTTTTGCGTTTATGTTTTCTACGCATGGACGGGGTAAGAGTCTAATAGATCTGTACATTCTGTGCAGATGTCTGCTGTGGACGATGGGTCTGGAGAGGATCGGCGAAATTGGCGGGATAGTAACAGAAGAATGGGTGAACAAAATATGGATACCTAGCATAGTTGGGCGATCATTAGGATCCGCCCTAGATAGTGATAATGAGAAAACATGAAAACTGTCAAAAACAAACTTGTGTATTGCCAATTTTCTGTTCGTGGGGCGGATACTCTATTGTGTTAATTGGCTATGGCAACCAAATCAATAATTTTGTCGTTAGGATTCAACAAGCTACTACGGTACTGTCAGCCTGCATACTAGCATGAAATAATCCTTACAGTACCATTGCAGATGACGATCTTCCGTTGCGGATGAGGCTCTCAACTTTGCATTTCAACCTGGGAATTTCTAATTTAGTAGATCACGTGAGATTAATGATTAGATAGTTCCCCTGCCAGCGGTCCCATACTTAAGCGATGTTTACATTTTAAACGCAATCCAGGGAAGCGACGACCCAGTTGCCCCAGCCACCAGATTTGGTAGGAACCAACCTCGCCATCCACCTCTGCATCTTTGTCGCTGTCTCCCTCGGGCCCATTCTACAGACACACAATATACCACAACACACAATCCCCTTCATTTCCCGCGAAATTCCACAAACGCCAAATACTGGCAGGTCAACACCAAGAGCGAGCGATTTTGACCCCAAATTTGCGAAAGTGACGATCGCCGTCACATATCCGTCATCCGCATTCCTTACCAAGAATAGTACGAAGCAAACATGGCGCCCCTTCCAGAAGACGAAGCTGGTGGGTTCGCAACATACTTCACAACGCTCCTCAAACGTCTCCCAACCGCTTCTCCCTCACCCGCCGCAAAACCCTCCTCTTCCTTTACACTCAACTCCCTCACCTCTCATGCGCATTCGTTATTGAAGAGAGATACCAGCACACCGAACTATGATGCAGGCGTCACCCCACCAACCTCAATTCCAAACAAAGCCGTCTTCACCCTCTTCGGCCTAATCGGTGTCGGTATCGTCTGCACGGGTATCTGGTTCTTCTTCTGGGCCAAGAACGGCGGTTTCTATTTTAAGGAATCAGATTGGGATGATTATAAATCTACTGTCTTGAGAAGAAAGGGCCCAAATGGAACGACGTTGAGTGGTGCGACGGAGAGTACGGATTTGGGAGGAGGAAGTATTGTCCATGGGGAGAGCGAAAAGGGAACGAGGAGTGTCTGGGGACGGAGGAAGGGGAAGAAGAATAAGAAGGGTGGGAAGAGGTATACAGATTTTGAGGAGGAGACGGAGTATACTGGATCTGCTGGGGGCTCGACGTTGGGATCTGAAATGTCTGAACTAAAGAGCAAAATTCGCAAAGACAGAAAGAAGGCAAAGAAGGAGGCACGTTTACGTGGAGGTGATCTTGGAAGCGAGATGGGTGAGACTGTTACGGTTATGACGGAGGTAGACCCTGATGTTGAGGCGGCTATCCGATCGTACCGACATGAGAAGCCTGCGAGGGTTGGTGGATTGAATAAGGAGAGCGATGCGTCTGCCTGGGATGGAAGCACCGATCGTGATGGTAGCACTGCCGCATCTGAATTACTGAGCCATCGAGAAAAGACGCCTACGAACACACCAACCAAGAAGGAGAAGCACCACGGCGGAATTCGAAAAGTAGTCAGCACAAGCCAACCACCCGCAAGCGTCTACTCCCGCGCCTCACAAAGTACTCGTTCCGCTGAAGAAGACGAACGCATCAAGGCCGAAGCAAAGAAACTCCAAGAAAAAGGTCGCGCAGCTCAACGCCGAGACTTCAGCTTTCAAACAGGTGACGATAGCACGGTCGATGGATCCGAATACCGCTCAGCACGCAGAGAAGAACGAGAGGCCAGACGTGCAAGCCGTAGTCCTACGAAGAAGATTCCAGGTAGCTATTACAATGACTCTGAGATTGGCAGTGCGGTGAGTAGTGATATTGGCACGAAGAGTTACCATCATCCCATTCCTGGTTTGAGCACAAGTGGTGGTAGCGAGTATGCTGAGGAGAGGCGGAAGAAGAGAAATGGCGGTGGTTATCGGAGGGGTAGGAGAGATAGTTTGAGTGATGATGGTAATTGAATAGGTACTGGATAGGGTCAAGGAGGGAAACGTGATAGTGTGATTGGGCAGGATAAGGCATGAATCGGGCATTAGGATTTCCACGAGAATGAGGACATGATAATGGATTAACCAGTCAGATTGGCGGTATCGCTTGTGCATGTATGTTTGGAGTTGGGAAATGATTTGTATGTGTAGATAGCAATTGATTTCTGTCAATTACCACACTTAGATTCTATATACACGAAATGTGATAAATCCCCGCTTAAAAACCCCTAATATCAGAAATTCCCAACATAATAACCAAATTTTCACAAGCCCTAGATTTCTGTTACCCAGATATATTTCATAAATGTTAAAGGGAAAATGCTGGTGCTGCAACACATAAACACTAGCCAGATTTGAACTGACACCTTTCGCCGTCTAAGCGATTGCTCTACCGTTAAGCTATAGTTGTTCATGTATCTCGCCTGATAGGAGCCATTTCCGCAGATGGTATATGCCATCTCCCGAAATAGATCTTGATCGTTTCTAATGGTTTTTTTACCCCAAAATGGAATCGGAACTATAAATAAAGGCAGTTGTAAGAAGCAAGAGTTTCCAGAAGCTGAATTGCGATATAACAAGTAATACGATGGCCAGTTACCCAATAGTAATGGCAGTTCGGGAGACCGAGCTATGAGGACGCTGTGGAAGGAAATAGGAAAATTCAAGAGGTAAGGTATGTTTATGAGAGCTAATAAATGTTGAATGAAAGCTTTTTCTACCCCGTGTTAGTATTGCCGTATTTGAGAGAGCAAGAGTGCTTGGGGAAGTCCTTACTTTTTGGATGGGCTATAGTGTCAATAGTGCCCTTTTGGTGCAGGATGTTGAGACGTGGAAAGGCTCTGACCCGGATTTTGGTGTTATTTTGGTGAATATATTTGAATACAACTATCTGTGATATACCAGAAGCCGCTTTGCATGGGTTCAGAACCCCCCATTGAGGAAATGGGAGCAACCCATCAGGGGGAGCTGAGTAACACCGAAGAGCTATGGCTCGTTTCCATTTCTGGAAAGATTGCTCTGGTGTTTCGGTGTTTCGGATTTGATTTTGTTCCTGCTTCTGTGGAAGACAAAAATGAACTCGAGGACCAGCACATGAGACAGAGGTCTCAAGTGGGATAAGCTTGACCATCGTATAATGGGAGTCTGCAAATCCAGTCCTGTCTGCAACTACCCCTTTTCGTGATGGATAATTGCCCAACGTGAGAAAGACTGAAGAGCCTATGGCAGGCTGTTCTCTCTCATCCGCAACATTTTTGTCTGTGGCTGAAAAAGCTGGGGAACGAAGCTTTGTTTCGGATTGGGGAGATGCAGATTTCTTGGCTGAAGTGCGTTCTGCTAATGAAGGGGTGGACGAGATGCCGGTAGTCAGGCTTCTGCGGCTGCTTGCATCTTTGCATAGGCTCGCAGAGTCTTGGTACAAAGGAGAGGAAGCATGGTTAACGTGTCGCTCGTGTCCTTCCAAATATAAGGGTTTACCCTTGTATTTCTTCCTCCTAGACCTCATGGAATGGGATTCTAGCTCAGATGCACATGATTTTAGCTGACCAGTGGGTTCACCTCGAATGTGTGTGGTTGGGTTTGATATTTCCCGAGGAGTTCGAGAAACATAGACGCTGACAGACACCGTCTCCCTTTTCAGCCCCTTACTGATACACCGCTGTGTAGCATATAGTTGGACCAAGAGCCATTCAAAGTTTGGGTCATGATCTTGCGCAATCAAGTCATCTAAAAGAGACCCAATTTGCCTTTGTATACGCGGTGCCAAGATTGATTTCTTCTCTGCGACTGATGGACCATGATGATTGAGTTTCTTGATATCCCTCAAGATTTCAGTTTCGGGGAGTTGGTCTTGGGTAATAGAAGCCTTAGCCCACGTCGACTTTTCTCTACATTCTTGGTTTGTTTTCCGGATCGTGAAAACTTTGTATGAGGTCAATAATTCTCTCCGCATCACATTGCCTAAAAGTTGAGGAGTTTTCTGGGTGCCGGTCATCCCATCCTTGTCCTTTGAGTTGAATCGAGAAGGTTGCGAGATGGTGGTAGTAGCACCACAGCCAATCTCGTAATTTTTTATGGTTTCCACATGGGGCCTTGATTGGTGATAGGTTTGGGGCTCATTAAAACCCAATTTCTTGACAGGAGATACAAGCGTCCTTACAGTGGATTGCCTCCATTCTTGACTGCTTGAAGTTGGAACAAGGGAGCATTCACCATTTTGGTATAAGTCATAAGAGTTTGACATCAGGATATTATATGGCGAAATCGGAGGCACTTGACGTTCCTGGTAGGATATTTGACTATCTCCCAGTAAAAATCGCATTGGTGACGGACATATCGGTCGTGAAATACCACGCACTTCTCGTCGCCTGCAACATTCCTTGGTAAATGTTGGTGTTATGTCTGACTTTAGTGAGGGTTGGAACTCCATTCTATCCTTCAAGTGCTTGCTGACTGGCCACTCAAATGAAGAGACTGGCTCCTCTAGCATATGAGATAGAGCTTTCAGAGACTCAAGGCCACGACTTCTAATCGATGCCAGATCAGCTAATGACTTTATATAATCGGAATCACAGAAATCAATGCCACCTCTATCACGTAACCATCTTTCGAGAGGGAGACTCAGGTTTCGGTACTCTATAGGCTTGAGAGCAGCCCCCAATGCCTGAGTTGGAAGTAGAGACGTGATTAAAGCACTTGGACTTTGTTTATCCTGACTTATACCACAATGATCAAACTCTTTGAGGTTATTGTCATTGTCAGAGGGTGTGGGAATACTGTTTTTGTCGATGTTTTGGATTTGAGTGTTGGTAGGTTTTAGCGGCTCCAGATCGCTGGCTGTGCTGCAGACCCTGTGTTTTTGTTTAATTTTCCCGTTGTTCTTGAGTGTAAAGTAATCTTCCTTGTGTGTATCTTTTATGTGCTGTGTGTAATCCGAGTATCGCACAGACCAAAATCGGCAAGACCTGAAGTGGCAATCGAACTTGTGTTGTGCGATAGGGTATATCTCCTTGTTATGACTGCCTAACTTCTCCTCTTCTGTCCATCCACACTTGGGTCCCTCGGGATTCTCTTCAAGGCACTTTAGTACGTGTGTTTTGGCAGTGGGAGCATGTGCATTATATTGTGATTGCCCCCAGGGGATGTTGTTAGGGTGATCGGATGCCTGTTGCGCCTTTGGCTTATGCCCGTAGATGGTTGAAGACACCGTTTTTCCGCCTGGGGCCTGTTGTCGAGAGGGATGATCATCATTAAAATCATCATCATCATCACTATCATTATCCTTGTAGTATTTGAAATGTTTAGAAGGGCGATCATCGCGAGGCTTGAAGTGATCTGCCAGGTGAAGTAGCCTTTCTCCCCAAGTCTGAAAGATCTTAGCACAAAAGCTACACTGTCTCGGCCAATCACTAAGAATGGGATATTTCCAGTCTTCTGAGAGATCCTTCGCGGCTGTGGATTCAACTATATGGCATTCTCGAAGATGGGCAGTCATCTTATCTCGTCGTGCGAAAGTCTTCCCGCCTTGTTGGGCGGACTCGCAATAAAGATAGTGGGCTGGAAGGTTGCTAAGAGGTCCAAATACTGTGTTGCAAAACCCACAAACTGCGTTGCCGTTAAATTGAAATGGCGGCTCAATACAGCGTAAGCACATAAAGTGTTCTTGTGGGTAATGTGTTTCTTCATGTCTTTTCCAGTCAGAGAAGGCCTTGAATGAGCGTCTACATCTGATGAAAGTACAAGGAAAGGATTGTGGAGCTTTGTTGAAGCTTCTTGGTGTTTTAATAGCGCGCGATGTAGTAGGAGATGCATCATCGGATAAGTGTTCGGAAAAGGATGAAACTGATGTGTTGTCCGTTGAATATTCGGAGTCGACAACATCTGAAGTAGAGAGAGATTCTTCAGAGCCTTGGTCTGTATTTGATGCTATTCCATCATTGGTATCATCTTGTAGGTTCCCGAGCAACTCCTCACTATCGAGCAATTGTTTGAGTTGTAAAACCAGGGCTTCAGAAGTGCCTCGGAAGTATGTAGATGGGTTGGACAATGCGCTCAAAGAGAATTCGAAGCTTGCTAGCGCTCTTCTTACGGACGCGATAGAGGTTCCTGATGTATGGGTTCGAGATGGGCATTGATCAACCATGCATCCTAATTGCTGTCGTCGATAAACCCTTTTGCGGGATTTGCCTAAACTGCGTTGCTTCACGTAACTCGCTTGCTTATGGCGAGCCTTTGAGTTAGGTGAGAGTGCCGATTGAGTGCGCATTGTGAGTGTTTGTGGCATGGGAAATGAGCTGGAAAGGGTGAATGGCTCCTGAGGTGTCCACACTGTCGTAGTTGTAAGACTGGATAATGGTACGTAATTTTGGGGAAAGCCAAATTGATCTTGAGGAAGAAATTCTGTGTTGCAGTTCATTCCCTCACTCTGCGAATCTATAAAGCATAATAACTTTAGTATTTGTCATAGATTCTTTAGAAGATAGCGAAGGAACCTCATTTACCTTCCCCAAGGCACTGGTTTCCGTACAGAGGCTTGACTATAGCACTGTGCTCCCGGCCCACAGAGTCTCCAAGTCCCGCCAAGCTTTGAAGCAATCCCAGAGACTCTGCCTGGGAAGTGTCAATACTTTCAAGGCCAGTTCCATAATCATTTGTATCGCTAGAGGGAAGCTCCCTTCTAGCGGGAAGCCCTGTTCCCAGGCCTTCGTTCCCGAATACTGAGATGTCGTAGTCCATTGGTCAGCATATAATAAGCCACGCTGTTTCCTCGTGACAGCTAAATAATACAGGAAGTTTAGACAGTGAGTCTTTCGGTGAGAATATTCTCAAGGAGGTTGCCGACGATGTGGAGCTTCCAAAGGGTTAAGATAGTCGCATGCACACATTTTTATTGTGTTTCTTCAACGAGGCTCGCCCTCGCCTTTGATTTTCGAGGGCGTCAGAATGCCAAGCACAAGGGCGAGGGCTTTCGTATGCAAGGTGTTGAGGGCTGCAGCTAACTGAGGGCTGTGATGGCTGAAAGTAGACTAGTTAACTTAGATGATTGGCCTGTCTTGCATGAATACCATTGTGTGAACAACATCCTCATTCGTTAGCATATTGTGTAAAGCCACCTTTGCTGCTCAGCCTCAGGTTTGTGACTGAGAGATCAGGCGAGGAAGGCGAAAATGCCTGAGGGGCATTTTCGAGAATTGAAAGTTCTTGACTATAGAGCCGCCAAATTTCCAAGCTAGATGTAGATGTCCCTATCAAGGGAATAAAATGTTTTTGATTTTTTATGATATTTCGGCAGTGATACTGAGGGAAAAGGAGAATAGTAGAGCAAGATTGTTAAGCAGAAATAAAGTGATTATATTGTCTAAGAGAAAACAAAGCTCGTACAGAACAATATATGTACATACACGACGGGAG